CACCCATGGATAGTTGTAGTACGTAGGGATTCTTGTCATATTATTTGCCTCTGTATACGAACTGCTTACCCGATACTATTCTGGCTGAAGAACTTGGTTTGGGCGGCTAGACTCTAGGACCGATGCTATTGACGGTGGTGAGCAGTTCTGAGGAAAATTTAAGCTCATAATAAGGTAGGTAGCCACGTTAGACTGAAGTCGCCGGGTGCTACACAACCACCTCAACTGTTTATTTCAGTTTCATCATGCTGCCGCCATTATCTCAATTTCAGGTGGCTAATAAATGAATATGAAGTTCTTCAAGGAGCACTAAGGCAGCATTCTGCACATATCCAAACTTGTTTAGGTATAGACCAGGCGAACTGAAGCCTCAAACGTGCCACTGAAGATGTTCATATTGAAAGATGGCTTGCTTAAGAAGTTTGGATAATCGGACTGTTGGGTCTAAAAGGTCAGTCGTGAGACCTTGTAGAGAGGGTCATCACAGGATTACCTGCGCTGCTGACCGTCCTGTCTAAAAACATACCCCTAAGCTCCCAGGTTACCCTAATCCCAATCCTATCACAAGCAATGCACCTCATAAATTATCTTTTTAACTGCTACCATTGAATATTGAAAAAAAAATGGAATTTACCAACTGAATTTGTGTCATCGGAGGCCTGAGCGCACAACTGGTTTAGACGCCCAATCCAGGGTAGAAGAATGCAATGAATTCCAAACTGGTGAACGCATAGATAGTGAGCCATGTGCGCATCCCGTGCATTCGATGCTGCCGGAAGGAGATAGATTTTGGAAAGTTGAGGAGGGCCGTCTGATGAAAGTGACTCCGAAGGAGGGGTGACCGAGGCGTCTTTTCGGGATTTCGGATTTGACAAGGGCTTAGTCAGCTGCAAATCGACCCCTTCGACCAGATAGAGAACAGGAACACTTCGACCTTGGAAGGAAATAGTTACGATATTTTTCTATCACTCATGACTGTAAATCGCCTAATGGGAGAAAGTGGACAAACAGAAGACCTAAAAGGTG